CGAAGCACACAAGCCTCCCCGCCCGCACGGACAGTGCTACTTCAAGGCGGTGTCCCCAGGGGAGGATTCTTTTTTTTCAAAAATGATAAAAATGTAGTTTTTTGACTTGCTTCTCATGTCGTTAATATTTATTTTATCGGCGATTTCTTCATATATTGTATTTATGAGTACATGTGCTTTAAATAAGATCTTATAAAATTTCTCGAAAACTTTAATGTTTTCTGTGAAAACTAGCTCAAAACTTAGCTTTTTCAGTAACGCTCAAACGCCATTTATGCTTACAAATAGCCCCAAAATGTTTCTACAAAAATTTCGGACGGATGGTGATAATTACACTCTTTAATATGACGCAAAGTTCATTTTGGAATATTATTTTCTTTTTTCCAAAATTGTACAAGTGAAAATTTTGTATAAGATCAGTGTGTCACCCTGTTGATATGCACATTCCCAGTAATTTGTACTTGTGAGTTAATTTCTTAAAATTACTTCAAAGCAGGTTTTTGAAATCTCAAAAATTTCAATTTCTTAAAAACGGCTCCAAATTTTCCAAAGAAAATTGCCATTTAGATAATGGGTTTACTGTTCTTTTATTAATCTTAAAATAATGAGTCAGCCCTACAATTAGGAAATCGAAAAATTAAGAAAATATCCAAATATTGTACTTTGAGCGGTGATAGATGGCATCTGGCAAGAATATGAGGCAAGTTCGAATAACTAAGCGAAACCAAAGGAAATAGAAAACTAATACGGGAAAATCTGTGCAGTTTTATAGCACCACTAGTTTGTCTATCATGACGAGCCTAAAAACACGGATTCAATATATAGATATTTTCATATGTTAGATAAACATTATTGTAATTTTGATTTTTTGGCGACTAGTGTTTAACGGATATTTTGAATGTAACAGAGTGTCACATATGGTCACGCAACGCTACCCCTGCTAGCACGCGCCCGGGGAAGGGAAAGGATGTTAGTATTTGAAGATACGTAATATTCCAAATATTCACAAAACTGGTGCAGTTTTTCCCTGAAATCTACTATTCATTCTTCCGCATTTTCACATTTTTTTGCGGATTTGTACGGATTGTCATAAGTAGTATGAATTGAAATAAGATTTCTTGTTATTTAAACTTCATTAAAATGGGTGTCATATCTAAGGATTTTAATGGGATCTTGAAACTAAACAAACTCCAAATAGTTGTGTGAATATTTGGAATATGTTTCGAATCTTCTAATACTCGTGCCAAGTTCCCTTCCCTTCCCCGAGCGCGCACAAGCAGGGGGAGCGTTGCGTGACTTGTCGGACTGTTACATTCAAAATATACATTACCGTCCAAAAATACTTATCTAACATAATATAATATGTATATGATTGGATTTGTCTTTTTACGCCTGTCATGACCGACCGTAACAGCTTGTGTAATCTTATAACATACCTTTGATTAAATAGAAATGCACACATATCAATTAGCCTCATTCCTGCATGCACTTCCATGAAAACTGTATTGCAAATATATAAATTGTTATTTAAACTTTGTTATTTTAATTATATTATATATATAAATAGATTATTTAATATATATATAGTATTTATTAAAAAATAATATTATATATTTAAACAATTAAATACCTGTTCTTTAATCTTGAACAATATCCATTATGTTTGTGTATTGCTATCTAAAAAGTAAAATACTTTTTTAGTAATATGAACATGTATTTGCGTTGGAAAAAGTTAGGGGATGCACTCACGGTGGTACTCGGCCGTGGAGCCGCTGCGGTCCCGCCGGACTCCTTGCGGCAGCCATGTCTCTGGGCAGCGCGCGTAGAACGCCTCCATGGCCCCGAGTGGAAGTGCAGCTGCAAAACACACACACGCGAGCTGGGAGACCCAACGAATCCTCAGAAAAAACCTTGCCCTTCATCGCGACTCTCGTTCTGTCGGTTCTCTGTCGTTCCTGCCTCTGACTGTCTGTCTCTCGCGTTCCAGTGTGTCTCTTCCTGTGTGGTGCTTCCCAGTGTGTGTGCCCAGTGTGTGTGTCCCTGTGTGTCTGCTCCCCTGTGTGTGTGTTCCTGTGTGTGTGTTCCTGTGTGTGTGTCTGTGCCATTCTGTAG